TACAGTTTTAAGTTATTAAATTGTAGGGTTGAGGAATATTTGAGAACTGACAAGTTTATGTCTATTGCATTTGATGTTTTTATGTTATCTGAGCTATTTTTGTGCCTTTCTAGATTTATTTATGTTACTTTTATTTTTGGTGGTCCTTATCGTTTTGGTCCTACATATTAAAGCTAGGGTTTTTGTTGATTTGTATAATTAATTAATGGTGGGGTTTCATATCTTTATATTTTTATTGTTTAAGCCTTGAATATTGCTGATGTGGTCTCATTTTGCCTTTTTTATTGTTGTTGCATGTAATTTTATTCGAAGGATAATGGATAAAGTGAACTTGTATTTTAATTATGGAGATGAGTGGGTATTGGAACCTACACTGTCTTATACTAAGAGAAATGTGCACCTGTTGAGTGGTTATGAAGTAGACCATCTCTCTTATATTGATTTGTGTAAAGAATACACTGAAGTGATCGGATTTGTTGAGGTACAACAATCGATATTTATTGACCCATCTGGGAGGTATTTTTTGTTAGATGGGGATGAAGGGATTAGGAAGATTCAAGCCCTAATTAATGATGGTTTCACTGATGTACAATTATTTGGTGTTGACCTTTTGGATGATACTCTAAATGTTCCTGTATTTACCCAGTTTACAGCAGCAAATAGTGTACTTGTTGCTATAGCTTCTGAATGTGATAGTAGTGAAGATGATACATATATTGAAAATGTTAATAGTGGTTATGATAGTGATGCCCTAGGTTTATTTGAGAGGCAGAATAAGTGTGAGGTAACTGACCAACTTGATAGGTATAAAACATTGGAAAAAGGTATGAACTTTAAAGATCTTGCTGAAGCTAAAGAGGTTATTGCTTATTATGCTATTTCTAATAAGAGGGGCCTTCAGATAGATAAGAGTGATAGGAGAAGACTTAGATACAAGTGCCAGATTGGGTGTTCCTTTAAATTTATTATTTCTAAGGATGGCAGAGATCACGGGGTAAAGATAAAAACTTGGAGGGATAAACATGATTGTGATGAAGTTTTTGAGAACAGAAGAGCTACTCCAACTGCTTTAGCATATTATTTTAAGAGAAAGATTCAAAATAATTCTAAGTTTAAAGTTAAAGAGATGAAGGTTGGTTTAAAGGATAGATTTAGTTTGAATGTGAGTGATTTAAAGTTTAAAAGGGTGAAGAGAATGGTTTTAGAGAAATTAGAGGGCAGTTACTTGGATGAGTACAACAAGTTGGAGGCATATGCTCAAGAGTTGAGAGAAACCAACCCTGGTACTGATGTGGTGATACAGATATCCAAGGATGCAATGGAGGAAGGTAAGAGAAGATTTTTGAGGATGTATGTGTGTTTGTAGGCCCTCAAGAGTGGATTCAAAGCAAGTTTGAGACCTTTTATAGGTCTAGATGGACCTTTTTAAAAGGCAAATGCAAATAAATGTTGTTAGTTGTTATTGCTCAAGATTCTTGCAAGCATGTGTATTCACTAGCTTGGGCTATAGTGGATAAAGAAACAAAAAGATCATGGTAGTGGTTCATGAAGAACTTGAAGGCTTCTTTGGACTTGAAAGATGGTAAAGGGTATACATTCATGCTAGATATGCAGAAAGTATGTTACCATATGCTCAAAAATTTTACACTCAGCAGATTATATTATTTAGTTTGTTAATATAATATTTCTTCATGTGCAGGGTCTATTAGATGTTGTAAGGAATATATGTCCACAATAATATCACTGATATTGTGCAAGGCATATTGAAGCAAACTGGAGCAAAAATTGAAATACTGATGAGATAAAAAAATTAATGTGGTGGTGTTCTTGGAGCACATATGAGGAAGAATTTAAGGATATGTTGAAACAGTTAGGTGAAGTGTCTGAGGATGCTGTTAAGGGCTTGCTGAAACATCCTCCAGTAAGCTGGTGTAGAGCTTATTTTGGCATCCAATGTAAGAACCCAATGGTGGACAATAACTTTACAATATCTTTCAACTCTTGGATTCTTGAAGCTAGACATAAGCCAATTGTGAAGATGCTTGAGGTTATAAGAGTGAAGGTGAAGTCTATTGTTAATCTTTTGTTAGTTACTGTTGACTAATTGACTAACTACTTCTTTGCTATGTTACTAATTGGCGGCTGCTTGTTAAATAGTCTACTATTGACTAACTGCGTATTTACTGGTTGATAATTGAAGGTGATGAATCAACTAAAGGATAGAGCAGATGAAGTTAGCAGTTGGAGAGGTGAATACAACCCATATGCAATGGAACTATACAATGATTATAGAGAGATGGCTTCAAAGTGCAAAGAAAATTTCAATGGAGAAATGGGTTTTGAAATAAGTGAAGGTGAAGACAGGCACACAATGATTCTGGAGCAACAAAGGTGCACATGCAGACTTTGGGACTTGTTTGGAATCCCTTGTGCTCATGCTATCAGGGCATTCAACTATAAGAAACAAGACCCAGCACTTGGGATTCATTAGTGGTATTCCAAACAAGCTTGGCAGTTGGTCTATCAACACAAATTGCAACCTGTTAGAGGTGAAAAATTCTGGAAAGTTGAGCCACACCAAGCCATCAAACCACCACCATTAGCAAAGATGGCTGATAGACCTAAAGTGAAAAGGTCAAGAGAGAAAGATGAAGATAGTAAAAGGCAAGGAGAATGGTCAACATCTAGGAAGGGTCTTCAAATGACTTGTAGTTTTTGTGGCAAGCCAAACCATAATAAAAGAAGTTGTCCATTATCCAATAAGGTATACTTGCATTCTATTGTTCATACTTACAGTCTGTTTTTTTACTTACAATATATTTGGTTATAATTACAGTCCAAGAATGTGCAAGACCACACTCAGACAACTGAAGATCAAGAATCAGAATTTTTTTGTCCCTAATCCAAATTTTAAAGCACAAGACCAACAAATGCCAAGTCAGGCTAGCCAACCAAGTCAGCTGTCCAGTTATCACTCCAGTCAGAACACTCATATGCCAAGTCAGCAATCCAGTCAGTACATTCAGCAGCCAAATCAACATTCCAGTCAGTACACTCAGCAACCAAGTCAATAATCCAGTCTCTACACTCAGATGCCAAGTCAGAATATTCAGACCAGAAGAAGGCTTATTCAGGCAGACTTTGGTGCAGAAGCTGACCCAGTTTTGAGGCCTAAGGTTGTCTCTGATATTGAGATTGGACTTCAGCGTAAGAATCAACAAAATTTTGGGACTAGGAAGATACCATTCAGAGGTAATCACACTGGTAGCTCACAACCAACAAAACTGCCATACTCCCCAAAGAGAACTACCTAGAAGGGGAAGTAGGCAATGACAACAGCTCAACTGTTGGGTGTGAAAGAGAATTGGCAAACTTAAAGCTTGAAGAGGCAAGGAGAGGGGCAAAGGGAGTAGTTTAGCAAGAAATGATGAATGTAATATATATTAAAACCCTTTTTTTTCATGATTGTTCGAGTACATGCTATTTGTTTATGTTCTAGGTTTTTGGACAAGTAAATATTGTGACAGTGGTACAGGTTTTTGGATCACACATTTACTTGTCTAATAGCAATATTTTGTTGGGCTTAAATCTTGAAATAATGTATATTTGCTACTCGATTAATGGCAATGTTCTTCTTGTCTATCTATAAGAGATGTTTCTATTTGTTATTGTGATTGTTAATGTATGCAAAATGTTGTATGAGAGTGAAGAGAATGGTAAAAAACTTCGTTTCATACCAACAGAGGACCATTACAAATGCAACATTACAACATATGCAGAATTACAACATCTGAACCTAACCCATAAATATCTGCAAATTACAACATCGACAGAATTACATAATAACCTAACTACACTACATAATCTTGAAAACTAGCACCAACACAAAGACAACCCAAGAAAACACAATAAACCACTTCATATTTTGTAGTTTATCCTCCATCCTAGCAACCTTCTCTAAGTTTGTTGAATTAATTTCCTCCACCTCTTCCATTATTTTCTCTATTTTCAGCCTTTCAGCAGAAACAACATCTTCCAAGTTAGCCACTATCTTTTTCAGATAATTTCTTTCAACTTCCACTGACTTCAGTGAAGTATTCAAGTTATGGATTAAAATCGTCACATGTGGTGCCATCTCTTCATCCCGTCATTCTCACAAACCACATGAAGCTTCCTCGTCAAAACGAGGGCATTTGTAGAATCGACGACCACCGTTCAAATGAGTCTTATCCACAAAATGATTTGCAATCGAACCACAACCACAACGACGCGACAAACCAGAAGTGACAAGATTTCAGACATTTGAATTTTTTGTTATTCAATAAAGGCGGAACTTTTACAGCCAACCACAAGATTCGAAGAAAATAGACAAGATTTAATTAGTTGAAAAAGAGAAATTTTGGGGAAGAAGAATCGGGTAAGCAACCTGATGACCTAGGTTCTAAATTGGGGAAGAAGACGAGTAAAATATGTGGGTATAAGGTTAAAAGAGTGGGTATAAAGTAAAAGGAGTGAGCCAGATCAGTTAAATGGGTCGAAAATTACCCAAATACAATGTCAGCCCCACTGAGCCACGTGGACAAATGAAAGAACGCCACATCATTTAATGAGAGGCACACATGGAGTTCCATTAGTCGGGAGGGTAAATTTGATAATAGAATTAACGTCCTATATATTTTCAGACGGATAGATGGTCGGAGGGCTTTTATAAACCATTTACCATACGATAGGGGTACTTTAAGGCCTTTTCCGTATTTTAATTAATGTAACTTCTTGAAAAATCCCACTTAAAAATTATAAGAAAGAAAAGAGGAAATTTGATATTATATCACAATATTTTTTACTTCTTCTTCTTCTTGATATAAGCATCACAATTGCTGTCTTTCTTTCCAGTAATCAATGTTTTTACGGCCAGAATCTTTTCCTTTTTTTTTTTTCCTTCGCGTTATTTTCCCATATATAGGCATAATTTTTTTTTTTTTTTTTTTTTTTTTTTTTTTTTAATTTCGAATAATCTTGCATGGTTCCTTACAGAGGATTCATTTAAATAATCACAAAATCTGCGATTGCCGAAACCCCAACTGCCGTATACCGTAATAGCAAATGGCGGAGAAAATGAGCGGAAGCAACCTCAAGAGTGCAGCCGTGCATGGCGTAACGATGGACAGCCATTTGGAGATGAATAAACCGGACAGAAATGTGTGGCTGATGAAATGCCCTACCCTTGTCTCCACATTCTTCCAACAACATCTACATTCTTCTTCAACTCCTCCTCTTAATTTTGACAATGACGGCCTCTCTTCCTTTGTTTCTCCTGCGCCAGTCGCTAAAGTCGTCGTCGCCGTTGACCCTCTCCTCTCCAATGATGCTACTCAGGTACCTACTTACTCACGTGCAAATTAATATTGAAGTTTATATTTTTAGTCTCCTCTGTTTTGCTTCTTTTGTAGAAACTATATTTAGGGCATAACCCACAATAGGAAAGTGTGGATGTCGAGTATTAAGGTGGTAGGTTGACATATAGTTGTGAGTTTTTTCTAGGTTTACAATAGTATTCTTTTATTCCTGGCTCTTTAGTACTTGTTATGTCACTTGCTTCCATCAGTGGCGGACTTGCGTTTTCAAGTATGGGTGCTGAAGCACCCATTGACTTTGGCCAAATTGTGTTATCTATTCATAGATAATACTTAAAAAATTTGAATAATTGACCATGAGCATCCACTATGATCATGTTTGACCACTGTAAATTTACACTAAAATTAGTGAAGCACCCACGACCTATAAATCTTGGATCCGCCACTGGCTTCCATTACCTTATTATATTACTGCTGTTATTGCTTGTTGATTTGGTTTTACTGTTCCTTAAGCCGAGGGTCTATCGGATCCGCCGAGGGCAGGGATAAGGTTGCGTACACACTACCCTCTCCAGACCACAAGTATGGGATTAAGCTGGGTTTGTTGTTGTTGTAATTTGTTGTTAACTTTTCTACTGCGGACTCTTTATCAGTGTTGGTGGTTTGTATAAAAGGGCGGTCCCGGTGCACGAAGCATCCCGCTTAGGGAAGGGCCACACTTCAAAGGGTGTTATATGAGTTTTTTTTTTTGGGGTGTTTTGATGAGCAGTTAACTGCGGCTTGTCGGGTTTATATTGTTTTTCTACGATTCTTTGATCGAATGTCTTAGTTTTAGATGTATGAAGCTTTTAGAATTATGCTTAGTTTGCTTGTCTCACATTTTTTCTGGTCCCAGGGGAGGGGTTTGGTTTGCGATGGGTGTAGATACTCTGTGGGCATTCTTCAAATAGACTAAAAATTAGCATAAAACCCACACCAGATAGGCAGATACTTATACTTGACCCGTCATAAGTACGTATCAATTAACCTGGAATAACTACTTACTATGATTGCCTAAGCCTTGGTGGTGGACATAGATACCTAGTACCTATGCGGTAGGAGGCAACAAGTACCCAGTGCAATAGTTGAGGTGCGCGCAAGCTAGCTTGCACCACCATCATTTAAAAAAAAAAGACTACTCCATATTATAGAGCCACTTATTTAACCAAATGCCATCAAAGGGTGGGACCACAATGCTATGACTCCTGGTGGAAGTGTTATCACTAACATTAGAAGGCTGCCCATCCATCATTGGGCTTATCTATGTGAACCGGGGAATCAGTACTTCTCTCATCTCCTAGAGATAAAGCATGTCTCTCGTCAGTCACCCTTCAGAGTTCATCCATCAACCTTGTATTGCCATCAAATTTTCTCCCTAGAGTTCCCGATAGCGGGTGTTTTCTACCATTGATTCGGATTACTCTCCCATAATCAACTGACTCTGATATACTAGGAACATGGAAGGAATGGGTGCTTCTGAAGAACATATATTTAATTTTTTCTTTAATAGAATTCTTGTAATGGACCAGATTATTGCATAATCAGAAAAACGGAAAGAATAATTAAGCGAGAGAAAATTTACTCTCCATTGGTTTTAAGGAAGTCAATGGTAGATATAACTAGTGGCTCAAAATAACAGCCTAACTACGAGGGAGCACGTGCATTGCTTGTCAAGGTTCGAGCTTTTGATTTGAATTGAAATTTCACAAAGACTTAGATAATTATGTTTTTGCATTCATCTGTACGAGGTGTTTAGGATGTTAATTACCATGGAGGAACATATTAATTTTTTTTTTTGAATAATTTAACTAGTTTGACAGTAAATATCAAACTGAACTTGTTAATTAATTTTAATTCCTAAAAGCATAAAATGGAGTCATATATCATATAAATTCAAAGAAGGAAGTTTACGATCCTTAGAGGCCAGTAATGTGACTATAGCGAGGTAACAAATTGTTTGGTTATTGATAAAGGATGATAAATTGTTCGACCTTTAATAAAGGGCCATGAAATGTTTAAATCTTCTTGTTTCTTTAACATTAGTAGCTAAAAATCAAGTATACAATATGAAAGTGGTATATAACTTAGGAGTAATATTGAGAAGCTATGTTTTCTAGTTTAAATTTGGTCACAACTTTATACTTGATCTCTTTGAGGAACTTTAGCAGTTTGTCATGTTGTCCCATGGGTATATAATTGTTTGATTATTGATAAAGGGTGATGAATTGTTTGATTAGTAGTAAAAGGCCATAAATGTTTAACCTTCTTGTTTCTTTTAACTTTGGTAGCTAAACATCTGGTAGACAATGTTGAAGTGGAATCTAACTTACGAGTGATATTAAGAAGCTATGTTTTACGGTTTAAATTGGTCGCAGTTTTATACTTGATCTCTCTTTAGCCGTGGTCATTTTACTTATGCGTATATATGCTGGAACTTAGTGTCATTACTGAGTTGGAGCCTGTATAACAAAATATGATGTCTCAGCAAGTTTTGAGATGAACTTGATGTATCATCAACTGATTTCTTGTTTAGAAGAGCCCTTTTTTTTTTTCTTTTTCTGGCGTTGGGGTGTAAGAGCACATCATGTCTATTCCATTTTATTGCTATGTGACTTCCTGATTCTTATTTCCTATTCATTGGATAAAATGGATATAAACAGCTTCCATTTTCCTTAAATAGATGGTGAGTGGAGCAAATAACAAATAATTACACAGTAAACCTAACCTGCTCCAGAAACCACTAATCTTGCCCATTCATTTTTTTTTTTCAAATAATTTTGCCCATTAGTTTTCGAAAAGGTAACAAGTTGCAAGGAATTCTGTTTTTCCTTAAAAGAAAAGACTAAATATCAAGGAAATTCCAGCCTCTTGTGTCTCCTTTAAGCACATGTTGAAGATAAAACTTGAAATATATTTATTGAAATGTATATAATGATGAAGCATTTTTTAGTGAAATGCTCAACTAATATGCATGATAATTGAAAAGCTATAAAAAGGTGAAGAGGAAAGAGAGAATTCACAGCAGCATTTCCCTCAGGGTTGGGGGGCAGTGGCTGTGGATTGAAGCAAGAACTTGTAAGTTTACTTTTGTTTGTGGCAAATCCATCAGTAGAAACTAATTGAGGGCCTATTAGCTACTTAGGCTAGATGCCACTAAAATAAGTTTTAAGTAAGCTGAGAAGGACCTGAAAGTGTGCTCTAAATGGAAAAACATACATTGCTGTTCCTTGAACAGTGTTACTTTATGGTCTATGGTTAAGCAATGTCGACAATTGTAACTGGATATATGAGAGGCAATTGCAAAGAGTTCTTTCTATTCACTACAAAAGTATGGATAAGACTGTTATCTTTTATGTTCTTTTACTTGGTAATCTATAACTTCTATAACACACTCTCTGATAATATTCAAACAAGACGATATTGCTGAAACAAGTAATTTGGGAATTTTCTTTTTATCTTTTTCTCTTTTTTTCCAGTATAGCTATCCAAAGTACAATTTGTAAAACATTCTACATTGACACATCTCTTTGGGTTAAATAATAAAGTGCTCCTCTGGCATAGTATACCATGCACAATCCATTTGAAGGGCAGTGCTTGTGGCTGTGATAGTGTGTTTCTTAAACTTGCTGCTATAGTAATGTTTCTTCATATGATTGAGCTCAAGTAATTCAACTTATATGGCAGATTTCTGGAACTTCCACCGGATAAAGTTTACATGGATAGAAAAGTTGCACAGAGGAGTTCACGTATACTTGTCCTAGTATATGTTTTCTCGCGTGGTTCATGTGGCACTCTGTCCAATAGCTTTTAAATGCATTTGGTACAAGTAAGTGCAGTAATTGAGCTGGAAAGTGGACTGCACATGATCGAGAACATTTAGATATAAGGCCATAGTAAAATTATCTTGCATCTCAAAACTTAATATGATATGTATATACCCAGGAAATAATTGATTTTGCATTCAATTGTTTGCTCAGTTATACTCGTAATGTGCAACACATGATAACACCACTCGTTTTAGACATAACAACAACTACAAGATGGAATTATTTTGACATCTTCATATCCTGCTATCTTTACATTAACTGTCCCAGCAAGTCAGTCTGTTGGAGAGCTATTTGGAGCTCTTAAGTATGAACTGCCACGTTTTGTTTGGGTAGGAAGAACTGGGTAGGAGTAGGGGGAGTAAAAAGGAGGTCTGGGTTTTTCTCTTGGTATGGAATTCGTAGAGAGTGGAATTAAAGTGGAGGGACTACACTTTCGTTTTCTTTTCATCCCCCTCTGAAGCTGATCAGGATGAGAAGTATCTTTCTATTCCTTTCCTTCCAACCCTACCCAACAATTGGAATAAAATTGCGGTAATTCACTTGAAGGAAGTAAACCATTGAGTGTCTCTCTCTCCTTTACCATTCCCCTTAGCTTCATGGAGTCAAACATAAGTTTTACAATGTGCCTTTCGCTTGGGATGAAGCCCAAAGTGCAATCATCACAACTGACGTTTTGAGGAGTGTACATGTTTGACGGCATGTGTGCAAAGTGCAAACTTTATGGAAGCAAAGGATGCAGATTATCTAAATGTTTCACTGTAATGTGGCTTCAATTTCTTCTTTTTTGGTCCTTCATTTTGTATCTCTTTGAGGTCTAACGGCTTCTATCCTGATGTTAAATCTGAAGAAAAAGAAGCTCATGTGTTTTTTTCCCAATAGTGAAACTCAGTCTTTTAATAGTTTAGAAAATGTTAATTGGAAGATTACCTTTTCTTCTGTATATTGTTGGAGAAAGGAAAAAAAGGCCCTCATTGTGTGGATGTCTGGTTTTTTTCTTTTGTTATGTAGAGCCTTGTGCATCTTTTATAGTTCCTTTTCAGTATTCTCCTTATGCCTTATAATGCAATGACATTAATTTGTCTAATATTTACCTAAAGGAAGGCAACAATTTTGTGTTTTTAAGATGTACTAGCATTACAGTAAAGTTACCCCAACGTCTTGGATAGTTTATATAGAATTCAGTAAACATAGCCTTTTGCTGATTCGTTTCTCTCATTTTCTTCCCCTTTCCTATTCCTGGTGGGTTCTCTGCTCCTATTTTTTTACAGCTTATCTGTGTTAGTATATCAAGAGCATTACCTAGGTACTTAAAGAAGAAAGACATGGCAATAGTTGATGAATTGAATTGGAGAGATAGGTGTATCTGATATTTATTTAATGAAATCTTCTTACTTCATTAAAAAAATGTCTGATTGTATGCTATGCTTATGAAGCCAGATGCTTCTGAAAGACTCCTTTGTAAAACACGGCACATGTTGGACATGCAAGGGACGTGCCCATCCCACAATTAATCATCTTTAGAAGTATTTTGCATTGTTTGACAGTACTGTCATACTTGTACTGTCAAAATTAGATCTTCAAATCTTTTGTGAACTAGTTCAGATAGGATAGAAAATGAGGATCATCCATCACTTCCTAATGCAGTAAGAAGATAAGAACCATGTTCAGGAACTTTTAAATGGAAAAAACCTTCTACTCATTTTTTTTATTTTTTTTGAAAAAAGAAGAACGAATGATGAGCTTTATGGTTTTCTATATTGTCAATTGTATATTCATTTTTCCATATCCTTATAACAGAGTAATAGTTCCTCTTCTTCTTTCAAGGAGTGGGGGTTAATGTGCTTTAGGATGCAACCGACTTTCCATCTGTTTTACAAAATAGTCAACAAATTCTCTGCTCTGTTATTTATCTTGCGAAAAATGCTTTTGATGTAACATCCGTCGTTTTTCATTTCATCTGTCAATCTTTTCAGGTCGAGGAGAGAGTTGCAGTAATTTATTAGCATGCCAGTCCTCTTTGCTATCAATATCTTTTTCCTTCCAATTTTCATACATTATTTGCATGATGACCAGTTTACCATGGAATTGGCTGGCACTTCATCTGGAAACATGCCCACTCTCTACTCCATGGACATGTCCACAGATTTTGTTCCGATGTCTATATTTTCTGAGTCAGCTCAAGGTGAGGACCTCTTAATGGTTTGACAGCTGTATCTGTGAGATTATTTCACATCATGCTGAATGAAAATTCTATTTTGTAGGAAGGCTTTCTGTGGAAGGAAAGATATACCAAAAATTTGATATGAAGCCTCATCATGAAAACAGTGAGAACTATGGAAAATTATGCCGTGAAAGGACCAATAAGTACATGACTAAAAGTAGACAGATTCAGGTACAGTTACACCTTTTTCCTGGTTGGATGTTGGCTTATTTGTATAGCCACTTTGATGTTGGATATATTGATTTCTTATTTTTAGTTGCTTTTGAACCTGCTTTTTTCTGATTCGCAGGTTATTGACGACGATAATGCCAAACATATGAGGCCTATGCCTGGATTTTTTGCTACTAAGGCTTCTGGATCTGCAGTAATTTTCAGCTTCTAATGTTTAATCTTTTGTGTTCAGCATCTAATGTTGTGGCTACATAGGTAGAACATATGAATGTGATCAAATTTAGGTCACAGAGTTAAAATAACCACCTTTAATTAACAGGATAAGAAGAAGGTACCAAGTAAGGGATTAGAAATGAAAAGAACAAGGAGGGACCGTGATGAAATGGAAGAAATCATGTTTAAACTCTTTGAGAGGCAACCAAATTGGACACTGAAACAGCTGGTCCATGAGACGGATCAGCCTGAGGTATGTCTGCTTAGAGCTCAATTTCCCAATTGTTACTTTGCCCCTCTTTTAAAGTATGTCGTCTGTCATTTGAGTACTTAGATGGTCTAGATGGAAGTGCTGGATCTTGTCTTGCACAGTTGCTTGCTTATCAAAGTACTAAAAAGCTGTTGAGCATCATTTTCTATGTGTTTTTCTGATTAACCTTAATTTAGATTTTATGCTTGCTTGGCTATTTTTGTTACAACGGTGAGAAAGCAAAGGAGAAAATATTATTGATATTATTCTCATATGTTAAACATGATACAATGAGCCCTATATATATACATAACATGTCCTACTCCTAATACATATAGGATTGGGGTTATTTACTACTATTTAGTATTTACATAACTATTCTAACACTCCCCCTCAAGCTGGTGCATATAAATCATATGTACCGAGTTTGTTACATATGTAGTTAATACGAGGACCAGTGAAGGACTTGGTGAAAATATCTGCAAGCTGATCATTCGACTTCACAAACTTTGTAGCAATATCTCCCGAGAGTATCTTTTCTCTGACAAAGTGACAGTCAATCTCAATGTGTTTAGTTCTCTCATGGAACACTGGATTTGACGCAATGAAGAGCAACTTGATTATCACACACAAGTCCCATCTGACTAATCTCACCAAATTTCAACTCCTCGAGCAACTGTTTGATCCAAATTAGCTCACATGTCGCTATAGCCATTGCTCGATATTCTGCTTCTGCACTAGACCAAGCAACCACATTCTGTTTCTTGCTTTTCCAAGAT